ACTACACATACTCTGCCCCGATTTGTTGTTGTCCTGTATTGCTTCTGAAGTCTTGATTTATGGGAAAGTTTTTTTTTTCATTTTTTTTTTATATTATATATTTTTTTGATATGAAAAATAAATCGCATTGGTAAGGGCTCTTATATATCTACTACAACCCTACCATTCTACATGATGGTATTGCTAAATATTACATGGATAAGTTACAAGTGAGGTGCTCTATGTACAGTGTTTCAAAGGAACCTTACATATACACGGAAGTACAAGTGTCTTCTAAAAAGGATGGACTTTCATGAAAGTACAGTATGAACGTATGAATCTAGTCTCATGATGACATAGCTGACATGAACATTTGAGGATTTTGATGAAAATAACACTGAATATGAATATGGCTCAAGAGTTTAGACACTTTTAGCAAATACGTAGCACGGGCTTTGAATATCAGGTACAGCTTACGATCATAGGTTTAAAAGATGAATAAACAAAACGAATGAATACACAGAAATCAAACAGTAATAATAAGGGTGCCGATGCCTCAGAAACCTAAGGATACTCTCGGTGGATGCTGGCCTCACGAAGGACCTGCGTGCCCTTGGGAGGCGAAGCGGCAGAGGAGGGAAGCCGCTGGGTCCTGAACACCGTGTTCTGCAGAGTTCGCTTCCACTTGTCCTGGGCGTCGCGGAGTTTCAGCAGCCACGTTTGCTGTCGAGAGATTGAAAAGGCAATGGCGGGGAGGACTGAGGTGCAAGTGTGTGGGATGAAACACAGGAAAGGGCATTCACAGACCGAAGGTTGTAGATGTACTGTGAATATGCATTTGGCTTTCTATATCTATCTATCTATCTATACATACATATAAATATATACATACAGATATATTCATACATACATACATATATGTATGTATATATACATATGTATATATATATATATATATATATATATATATATATATATATATATATATATATATATATATATATATACACACACAAACAGACAGACATATACATATATGTATGTATGTAAGTATATATATATATATATATATATATATATATATATATATATATATATATATATATATATATATATATATATACATATATATATATATACATATATATATATATATATATATATATATACATATATATATATATATATATATATATATATATATATATATATATATATATATATATATATATATATATATATATATATATATATAGTATATGTATATATATGTATATATATATATATATATATATATATATATATATATATATATATATATATATATATATATATACATATATATATATATATATATATATATATATATATATATATATATATATATATATATATATATATATATATATATAATGTTTGTACATACATACACACATACATACATCCATACATGCATATATATACATATATATATATATATATATATATATATATATATATATATATATATATATATATATATATATATATATATACATATACATATGTATGTATGCGGGTATGTATGTTTATATATATGTGTGTATGTATATAAACAACACAAGAGAAGAGAAAATATAATAATAATACGCCCTCGTTTGGCTGTTACGGTGAGTGTTATCGTATCCTGGAATATCATAAATCACGAGAGACAGACACACATTACTCCCAAGGTCTATGAAAGTACTTATATAGACCTTAAATACCCCCACAGTAGGTATGGTTGAAGAACTCCAAATTTCGCCGGAACATAACAGATCGTTTGCCTCTGTCACTTCACACATCATCACTGCCCCTGAGAAATACTCACGTTATCAGCAAGTGCATTAGAAGTACCCTGACCTGGCGTGACATCTGTCTGATCTTTATTCTGCTCACTGCCAGGTTCAGACACTTCATGACATCGCCGAGGGACCTACATTTATTGACGTCCAGAGTAGTAGATTATTTTGAATATTTACTGAATATTTCTGCTGATATTCTCGTAGGTACCTTCAGTGCACATACGTCCATGAGTGTTGATTTTTTTTCTAAATATTTACATTGTAAACGTTCAAATTTTTAATGATGTTTCACAAGTCCCTCTAAATATACTACAGTATACAAAAATGGAACACATAAAAGAAAGAAAGAAAGAAAAAAACACAAAAAATATATATATCATATATTAAAATATACTGAAAGTGACAAGTCTATATAAAACACCACACATGTATACAGAAAAAACGAAAACAAATTGAAACACGAGATGCACGTGCCAAAAGCCTTGTGGGGATTTAGCACTTTAGCACGCTAAGCATCGACTCGTCTCAGTTCACAGAGAAAAGGTGGATTTTTAGAATCTACGAATAATAAAAGATAGGAGACTGAAAATGTCACCAACCAGAAGCTTCAATTTCAGATGACTTGTGTAGGAGACGTATCGTACCTGTCTTTTAGGGGTTAACACAATGGTTTATGTATTGCTGTTAAAATTGTTGCT